GCCCCGTGTCGGGCTCTGCAGTAATAGTGTGGAGCCTGCTTGGGATTTCCCTCTCACTCTCTCTCTCTGCCCCTCCCCGGCTTACTCTCCCCCCCCCCTCTCTCCCTTCCCCTCAATTAAATAAATAAATAAATATTAAAAACTACAGGATAATTAAATGTTGAAATGCGGTGGGGATATCAGAAAAGGTTATGTAATTTTCTTTACTGGACATTCCTAAAATTAATAGTCAGCTGAAGGTTCTAAGAAAATTTGTCTATCCAGAGGGTGGACAATGAATTCTGTTTCTGATGCTGTCAGAAACACATAAATTTCAATAGAGGTCCTGGGTAAATTGATAGTCATAGAGATATAAGTTCATATTAAATAATTCCAGAAGTTCCTAATTTATGCTAGAATTATCTTAACATTTGGCCTAATGTCTTCCTTAGTTATGTTCTTGATTTTTTTTTACATTTATTTTCTCAAACCGCAGGTAGGTATCAGAATCCACCCACTGTCTCTAAAAGTCTCTGAGTTGTTCTCACTTACCTGTCATATTTTCAGGACCCCCAGGAACAAGTCACAGAGGTTGTTCAGGCAAAACAATCCAGAAGTTAAAAACAACATGGAAGGCTTTCACCGCCCCTTGGCTTCTGATCCAACAGCTTTTCACTAAAACTGTCTTCACAGGTGTCAGAATAACACCTAGCTCATACATCCTACTTCTTGGTGCTTCATTTCATCCTATTGCTTGAATAGAAGCTCCTGCCTTCTTGGTTTTTGTGGTGCAGGCTGCTAACTGTTCCCCAATATCCAGTCTCTCTTTTCACCATGGTGATAGCGCCTTTCCCCTCTATTCCACACTTTGTTGCTGGTAATGTGGCTGCAGCTAGAGATTAAGCACATTTGCTAGCCGCCCAGGCTTTAACTTTTTAATGTAAACAGAAGGTGCGTATATTATTTCCACATTGTTTGCTGAAAGGAAACTTCTTGCCCTGGACTTGTTCTCTTTTTCCTTCCTGAGAACTGTAAACAAGATGTGCCAGCCACCCAGCTTTGACCATGCACATAATGACAGTGCTCTAGGGCTCTGCTGCCCAAAGCGTAGTCCTTGGACTAGCACCATCAGCATCACCTGGATCCTTTTTATTTCTTTATGATGATTTTTTTAAGTTTTTTTTTTTTTAATTTTAGTAACCCCCAACATGGGGTTCAAACTCATGATCCTGAGATCAAGAGTCACATGCTCTTCCAACTGAGCCAGCCGGGTACCCCCTCACCTGGATGCTTTTTAGAAATACAGAATCTTGGGCCCCATTCTAGGCCCACTGAATCTGCATTTAGCAAGATCCTCAGGTGATTTAAATGCACATTAACATTTGAAAAGTACTGCTTTAGTAGAGGATGATGAATCAACAGGATAGAAGGAAAGTAGGTCTCAATTATTTTGTTAGAGCACAGCTGTCTCCTAACCTGGTCTGCCTACCTGTAGACTATTATGAGAGAGCAGATAAAATTGTATCTTATTTAAGCCATTGAATTTGCGGGTCCCTTTTTGACCTCTACCCTAACTTAATATGGTTATTATTCCTTGTAAGAGCAAACCTCCTTTTTAAGCCTGGGCTGAAGTCTTATGGAGAAAGAGATAAGAAAGGATATTTCTTGGGGTGCCCAGGGGGCTCAGTTGTTTGAGCGTCTGGCTTCAGCTCGGGTCATGATGTCACCCTCCGTGAGTTCAAACCCTGCGTCGGGCTCCATGCTGACACCTCAGAGCCCAGAGCCTGCTTCAGATTCTGTGTCCCCCTCCCCTGCTCACGCTCTCTCCCTCTCTCTTGAAAAAAATGAATAAATGTTAAAAAAAAGTAAAAAAAAAAGAAAGGATATTTCTTTTCTGAATATCTGGAGTACTCACTCCACCCCTTAGGAGAGTACCTATATTTAACTCAATCTATGTTGATTTATCTGGGACTGGGAGAGTGGGGAGTGCTCTTACCCCATCCTCCAGAGTATCACTCTGCACATTGCAATGATCATTTTTGGTCTCCTTGAGGATGCTGAGTTAAGAAGTTCAATATAAATATTAAATGAACTGAATACACAATGTCTCCGGAGATGGTTTCATTATTTTTTTTCCAGAAGACCCAAATTCTAACTAGCAGCATTAATCAAATAGACCACATTCATCTTAAAGTACATTAGGGCAAGCATGCTCTCATTTTAATATATAGACTCTCAGACACTATTTAATTTAACAACCACCATTTCTTCTTACTTCTTCCTTTCCATCTCTAGTTTGGTAAATGTGTTCTCTAGACTTGCAATTCCCCTGCTTTAATCCAACAAATATTTACTTAATGCCTCTGAAGTGCTAAGCATTATATTAAATGCTGGAAAAACAGTAGTGAATTAGATAAAACAGATCTGGTCATGTATAGCTTACAGTCTAATTGGGCAGAAGACCAATGAACAAGTAATTACACAGCTGAAGAATGTTAAGAAATGGAAAGTACTTAAAATACTTGCAATAATGTTCATTGACTGAATAAATGAAGAGATAAATTAACCATTAACACCTTCACTCCATGCCTCTATGGAGATAAAGAGCACAGTTCCTTTATTTTTCCGTTTCTTGCCTCCCTCATTGCTTTGGGTTCATATTGGTCTTTGGGCCTGTGCAAGAGAAGTTGGATAATTAACCAGCTAAAAATAAGGGCTTACAGTTAATGGGCATGGAAAATGACTGGAAAGGAACTTGGCAAATGGAGATAGTTGATTGTGGCTTATTTTATTCTTTTCCTTGTCATTAAAATATTGACTGTACAATACATTAAAACTGGGAATAAAAAGGGCATGTTTGTGTGTGTGTTAATCTTCTTTATCATTTTATAAGGCAAGTGTGGTTGTATTTCCTGTGCAATACCAATATCTCATTGGGGGCTACTGAGACTGACTAATGTCATTTTCCTTCTTCTTTCCTTCCTTCTTGCCTAATGCAAGCAAGCAACTGTGACATCCGATTTCTAATATTTGGTCTATAAAGGGCCCATCTTTTCATTTCTCTATTGCCAAACAAAGGAGTTTTACATTGCCACCTACCTAATATGCACATCTGGTAGTCTTCTCTGAGGGCATTAAGGTCTTTTATACAACATCACTGATCTTCCTTGAAAATCCATGGATAATAGTGGGGTGCCTGGCTGGCTCAGTCAGTTAAGCATTCAACTCTTGATTTTGGCTCAGGTCATGATCTCACAGTGGTGGGGTTGAGCCCCACATCGGGCTCTGTGCTGATAGTGCAGAGCTTGCTTGGGATTCTCTCTCTCCCTCTCTCTTTGCCCCTCCCCTGTGTACTCTCTGTCTCTCAAAATAAAAATACAAACTTAAAAAAAAAAAGAAAACCCATGGATAGCAGATAGGACAGGTAGTGGAGTGGCAATTGACAAAATAAAGAGGAAGTTGCTCAGGACATGAGATAAAAACTGAGACAAAACTGTCTCTATTGGATAGCCCCTTCTGAGGCTAGAGTTCTGCCCAGGGAAAACCACCCTGTTGATCAATTGCAGACTAGGGAACATCCCCCAAATTAGTGGCTTAAAATAACAATAACCATATTTTTGCTAACGACTCTCCAATTTTGGCAGGACTTGGTGGTAGCAGCTTTATCTCTGCTCCATATGGTTTTTGCTGGGATGGCTCACCTGGGCTGGATGATTTCAGCTAGCTTCACTCACATGTCTGAAGCTCCAGCTGGGGTGGCTGGAATGGCCAGGGATGGCCAGGCCGATTTCTTTCCATATGGCTTCTCTTTCCTGTAGGGTACATGGACTTCTTTACATGGTGTCTCAGGACTCCCAGAGAGTGAGAATACAAGCTTCAATGCTTCACAAAACTTGGTGCAGTGTTATTTCTGTTCCATTCTCTTGGTCAAAGCAAGTCACAAGGCCCTCCCAGATTTAAGAGAAAGGAAAACAGACTGCTTCTAGATGAGAGACCCAGCAGATGTGTGGGAATAGGAAGTGTTGTTGCTGGCTGTGTTTGCAGATAATCTACAACACAGTGTCACCCTCAGTACTGAAAACCCACTGAGCATCTACAACCATTGTGAAGATTACAGTGGAGAGGGGAGATTAATGCCACCAATGGTGTGGTGTGTAAGTAGAAACATGAAGTTACGCTACTCACCTTTAAGATTACGATTATGACTGCAACAGCTAAAAGGTTTAAAATGTGTTAACCTTGAGGCACCTCGGTGGCTAGGTAGGTTGAGCATCCAACTTCGGCTCAGGTTATGATCTCATGATTTATGAGTTCGCGCCCCATATCGGGCTCACTGTTCTCAGTGCAGAGCCTGCTTCTGATCCTGTGTTCCCCTCTCTCTCTGCCCCTCCCCCGCTCGTGCTCTTCCTCTCAAAAAAAACTTGTGTTAACCTTAACAAGTTAATATCACATGCGATACTCACATCAACCTGTGTGGCTGGTGTCATTTCTTAACTTACAAATGAAAAAACTGAGGCTTTTTTCTTTATCATAGCTTCTCATCTAACCTATATTTTCTTAGTACTTATGTGTATGAATATGTTTTGGTTCATTTTATGTATTCTTATAAGCTGTCCTAACCATGAGATGGATATATAAATAAATCAATAGTTTGGTACATAAATGTGTTACTATTTATCTATTTTAAATCAGGTTCAGGTTTAATGACTTGATCAATATTGCATACGTAATGCGAGACAGAACCTAACTCAGTATGTATCTGGACCCAAAGACCTAAAATAAGAAAATCCTAAGTGTATTCTCCATTTTAGATTTTCTTAAACTCCTGGGTTACACAAGGCTCACATGATTATTAAACACAGAGAATATGGAATATAGTAAGTAATTTTATAAAGTAATATCTTCTTTCAACTTCAGTTTAATTGAATTATATTCAGTAGATATTTATTAAGTGATTGTGCAGGGATCTGTGTGCTTGGAGCACATCGGTGCACAAAACAGATATTTTTGCTCTTGAAGAACTGAGTTTCTAAAAACGGCATCTTGTAAATAGAAAAAAAATCATTTCGTTGTGTGAAAAAGGATTTGCAAATGCACTTGTGCAGGAGATTGAGTATGAGTTTACGATGATGATTTTATTGTATTATTTTTTTGTTAAAAAAATTATGTCAAAGGAAATTGAACTTTGGCCTGTGTTCCCAGGGATCAGTGTGAGCTTTACTCTCGGCAATAGTTCTCTCAGCCTTGAACTCCTCTGGACATTTGAGTCATAGCAATGATTTTTACACATACTGACAATTCATAACCTAAAGATTTCTTCATGTCTCCTACCACCACTCTGTCCATTTTGGCAGAGCCTGAGAAGAGAATCCCAATGTTTCATGATAACCTTGCATTTTATTCTTATCCTCCAAAGTTGAATGCAGATATAGGTTGAAGTTCAATGAACATTCAGTTGAGGATATAGATCTGCCATTTAGGTGATGTTTTTTATCATCTCACCATCTTATTTATCACTTTTTTTTTGTCACTGTTTTGCACTTGTTATAAAATTAGAAGGACAAATGCAATAAACTATGCATATAAGAGAATAAACAAAAATGGTCGTCATCCTGGCAAGAGACACCACCATTTGAGAGTTCAAGTTCTTGCTCATTGGGTGATGTGTAGAAGTCTGAAATTAGCTCAGAACTGTCATTTTCGGAGTGTCAATGTGTAGTGTATCCAGTTTCATACATTGAAAAAATACCAATTTGAAAATTTGAGAACCACCTTCATGAGAACTGCTTGTGATCCCAGAGTTCCTACAATTTGGCTAAGAAGGCCAGACAGATACTGTAAACTGAGAGGTAACAATGCAGGGCAGCATAGGACAAAGGCCAAATAAATGATATAAGGGCTAATGGATGGGGCAGGAAACAGGATATTTTGATGCAGATGTAGCACTAGGTGCTTGAAAACATTGTATCATCTAATCCTCCTTACAATGGTTTTACTGATTAGACTGTTGAGAGAAACACAAGAGACATTAGAAATGCTTATGGACACATGATTAGAAAAAAATAAATCCAGTCAATCTAACTTTAAAGCTCAAATTATTAACATTTGAATTGATCAACAACTCAAAATGCACTGAATTCCATTGAATTGAACATTTTCCAGGTCTAACTTTTTCATAAGGCTTTGAAGATACCATAAAGGAATGTACTTGGAATTAGAAACACCTGAGCTTGAACCCTGATTCTGCCATTTCCCAGCCCTTTGGGGAAGTAGGTTTTCATTTCTTTAAATAGAAAGGATGATTGATACTCACCACATATAGAGCCTATGGACTTAACGAGACACCTCGGTGAATGAGACGTGCAAAGTGCTTGGTAAAGAGAAGGTCCTGAGTAAATGAATACAAAGAGGAACCTGGCATGATTGTTATTCCCATTCCATCTGAGTCTGGAAACAATAGAAGAAAATGAACAGTTATCCCAGTCTGGTTCTTACATGTTCACAGGCTCAAGAAGGAGCTTGAAATATTTTTCTAAATGAGGTTTGGGAATTCTTTGTGGATTTTAATTACCCATCCTATTGCTGGACCTCATTAGCGGACATAATTGAAAACTGACTCTGTGTAATAAGGACGACTGGAATCCCCAGCTCCAAGGCAGTTACTTTGGTGTTCCACATTCCCCATTCTCTCAGAACACACCCGCAGCCACCCCTCAAACACATCACCTTAGAAGTGGGGGAGAAAAAACTGAAATTCTTCCAATGCTGTATTTCCTGTGATTTCAGCCCAGGTAGGAGCTTTTGTTTCATTTCATGTTTTGTAACAGGTGGATAAACAGTGGCAATATAAAAGGCCTTGAGAAATTCTTGATATCGGCTTCCTTTGAACCTGTATTCTTAGCAGAGGACATTATTGCCAAGGAGGTAAAAATTGGTTCTTGGAGAATGAGACAACCAGATACTACAATGGTTTGTGTCCCTGCCCGGTACATAAATAGGTAAACAGTATATCTGTAGTATTAAAAGTTTACAGGGGGGCACCTGGGTGACTCAGTTAAGAATCCGACTTCCACTTAGGTCATGATCTCACAGTTTGTGAGTTCAAGCCCCGCGTTGGGCTCTGTGCTGACAGCTCAGAGCCTGGAGCCTGCTTCACATTCTGTGTCTCCCTCTCTCTCTGCCCCTCCTCCACTAGCGCTCTGTCTCTCAAAAATAAAACAAAAACATTAAAAAAACTTAATTAAAATAAAGTTTACAGGGAGGGGGAAATTAGGAAATAAAAAAAGTCTAAAAAGTCTCCTTAAAGGATATGATAATGAAAAAAACAAATGTTCAGAAACACTGCCTTTGAGAAAACATAAAAATTCTCTAGCTCAGCTCTGATTCCAGGAAGAAGACAGGAGACAGGACTATGCTAGGTACTCTATTCAATGATGGCAATTTCCGTGGTTCCAGTTCATCATGATAGTAGTTAAAGAGGAGGGCTGTGGGAAGCCCTATTCAGTATATACAGCTGTGTGATCTTGAGCTAGCTAACTTTTCTGCACCTCATTTATTGGTTTCATTTGTAAAATGACTATTATAATACCTGACATGTAAGGTTGTTGTGAGGGATATAGGACCCAGGCTATATTTTTAAAAAGAGCCAGCAGATAGGTGAATGAATGAATGAATGAATGAATGAATCAGCAGAGGCTACTTCTGCCTTTATGAAAGAATTCTAGTGCCCTTTAGTCCAGATTCTCTAGATGAGCAAATCTAGGCAACATCCTCTTTGTTTAATTTTGAGAATTTTTTGAGCAAATCTAGGCAACATCCTCTTTGTTTAATTTTGAGAATTTTTTGAAAAATATAGAAAAGAACAGACATAATATATATTTCCACAACATGAAAATATATGTTAGCATTTTGTCATATTTCCTTTTGTCTTTTTTATATATAAAAATTTTCAATTACATAAAGAATACATATATATGTATATACATACACACACACACACACACACACACACACACACACACACACATATACACACACATGGTCCCTCTGGCCCTACCATTGTGAATCAAACTTTTAAAAAGTGCCTACTGCCTGCCAGGTATAATTTCTTTACAGGTTTTCTTTCTAAACAGGTAGCCTGAGAGTCTATCTTGCCAAGCATGATCTTCTACCTAGTTAGGTAAAGGTCTTCATTCAGGTTAAGACCCCAATGACATTTTCTTCATTAATTGAAACTGTTTCTTGTGTATCTACTGTGTGGGTGATGTTTTTGAACTGGGAGAACTGTAGCATCAGGCCCAGAAGTCAGCTTTTCAAAATGAAAATCCGGGTAGCCCTAAGACAGGGACCACGGGAACAAGCGCAAACTGAAAAACATTATGCACCTAGGGCACTGTCTGATGGCTGTTATTGTTTAAACCGCTTCTTTTACAAAGCAGAACCAGAAAGAGGCCAGAATGGGACCCTATACTCCAGCTGGACTTCATACAGAGGACCCAGATATTGACCAATCAGAACGAGGCCCTTCCAACCAATCAAGACAAGGTTTTTTTTCTTTTTCTTTCCCTCATTGGCATATTGTGCGGGAATGGGAACCTGAAAGGGAAGTTTCTTTACATAGGTAGGACATCCCTGCTGTTCTAGGAGGCCAGCATAACTATTTTGTTATTGTTGTGTGTCCCTTCAGCTCAAGTTCTAACGCCAATAAAACCTTGCATGTGCCTTTGATTTTGGGGTCCAGCCTCATTTCTAACGTTGTTGTTGGTGACAGTTGGAGTGAGAGGGTAAAATCAAGTCTTCCAGTTTGAGGTGGCAGTCCAGATGTTTCTCACAAATGCTAGTAAATAATCCACTTCCCATACTAATAACAAATCCAACGGTGGCATTTGCAGATGACTCAGACTTTGCCTTTACAGGGTAATCTCAGCAAAGGAAGATGTGAGCTGCTGGTTTAGGATCAGACCTGGGAACCACACTGGTTTGCACACTGGCCAGGAGACCTGGCAGTGGGGAATTCTGTGGTTAGCAATTGCCTGGGAGGCAAAGGAGTCAAAGTCGTGAGTCCTGAGTGAGGCAGCCCTTGGAAACGCTGTTGCTTGGGTTCCTCAGGCACTAGGCTGTGACCCAAGGGACTGGAATCTTTTGTAAATAGCAGAGGGCCGGACTGCCCTGTCCTCAGGTGTGGTTATTTACTAATCCAAACGTGGAGCCAAGGAGACAATTTGTTTAGATAACAGAGGTTTGCAAGATAATGGCCACTGCCTGGAAAGGCATGCTCTCTCCAGGGGGTAACTCTTAGATCTTGGAATTTGGCTAAAAGGAGGAAACAATATGTAGTGCTCTTGCAGAGGTCTGGAAAACAGAGCCGTGGAGTGCCCCACATGGTTTTAATTATGGCCTGAATGGTTTTTCTTTCTTTTTCTCTCTCTTTACTGTAAAAGCAAAAATAAATATTTTAAATGTTTTTGTATAATCCGCTAAACTGTTAAGTATTGATATTAACAATACCACCTACCATGTATGAAGTGCTTCTCAAGGCCAGGCTCACGGTAAGGCTACTCTCACAATAGCACCGAGAATGAGAAGGCGGTATCTCCCTTCTACAAATGAAACCATTTCACTAATTTACAACATTGGGACTACGTTTTCTGAGGCTTTCCTGTGTGCTAGGTCCTGTGCCAGTGCCTCGGAGTCTACAATCTACCACAACTGACAAGGGGAAACGCTGTAACTCAAAGACATTTTTATTTTGCTTGCTGGAAATTGGTGGAGGAAAAGAGAGGAAAGAGCCAGTACGTAGTACTGGCTTTTCAGCACATGTCAAAAGGCAGGGGACGGGGCTCGGCCTCGGTGAAGGTCTCACTAAGTTTGTTTCTATTTCCAAATGAATTCCTGGGGTGGGGAGGGGTTGAGAAGGGGAATATATGAAGCTAAATGTATTTGTAGAACCTGCAGAGAAAAAACTCCCAGTTTAGAACTTCTTTCTTTTCCTGGGTAAGTTTCCTAGTGCTTGGCGCTAACTTCTCATAGAACAAGACCTGCAAAGCATTTACTCCTTTGTCTCCAACAGAGTGTAAACAAATTGTAGTCAGACTCTTATAGGTGGGGGATCTCTTATTTATCTTCCCTCTCCCCCACTGCCAGAACTTGGGGCATTTTAAAAAGCTCATTTAATTTGATGAATATGAACACAAGAATGAATGCATGAGTGCATGGATTTCTCTTGTGCGATTCACCTGCACACATGAACATGGACTCACAGGCTCACACAGAGGCCAAAATCACATACTTCATATATATTCCCAGAGAAACCAGGTCACTGTTCTCATTACCATAGACCTCCCTTTGGTGGCGTAGCCGACTGGTGTGGTGACCTCTTCCATCCCTCCTTTCTCCAGCCCCACTGTACCAGCTCAACCCATTCTACCACCCCCACCACCATTCCAGTCCCCTCTCTTGGCTGACCCAGGAGACACTAAGGTAACTGATAAGCTAATATAACAGTATGCCCAGAACAAGAGCTCGGCAGTTTCCAGAAGTCCTGACATTTTGACTGTTTATGGCCTTGGAAGGGATTTTGCCTATCATCCATTGCCTATTAAGAAAAACTCTTATTTGGGGAATTTTCACTTGGGTAGGAGAGAGGGTGGTTGGATCCAGATGTGAGGACTGCTGAGCTTCCTCACTGTTCAGGTGCATGCTCAGGAGGCGGGAGGGATCAGAGGAACCAACTTTACAGCATGTCTTTGATGTCCTAGACTTTCTGCTAGATGCCTCAATGGGATGGCTCTTCTCATCACTGGGTTTTCCACGCAAGTGCTAGGATTCTTATTTTGCAAAGGAGAAAGCTGAGGCTGAGAATGAAAAGGGACTTGTCCAAGCTAATAGTTAAGAACTGGCCACCTTAGGAACTACTCCAATTCATAATGCTAGGGCCCTTAGGTAAGTTTTCTTCCTACCTGATCTCTATTATATACACAAAATACTGTCTTGGTATTACTTGTCACCCAAAGATAGGCTAGATCTAGTTTTTGTCTTTATTTAAAAAAATTTTTTTAAGTTTATTTATCTATCTATATATCTATGTCTATATCTATATCTATATCTATATCTATATCTATATCTATATCTATATCTATAGAGAGAGAAAGTGCAAGCAAGGGAGGGACAAAGAGAGAGGGAGAGAGAATCCCAAGCAGGCCCTGCACTGTCAGTGGAGAGCCCAGCCTGGGGCTTGAACTCAGGAATCTGATCATGACCTGAGCCAAAATCAAGAGCTGGACACCTAAGTGACTGAGCCAGCCAGGTGCCCCTCCTAGTCTTTGCCTTTAAAATACATAGATTATAGGGGCGCCTGGGTGGCGCAGTCGGTTAAGCGTCCGACTTCAGCCAGGTCACGATCCCGCGGTCCGTGAGTTCGAGCCCCGCGTCGGGCTCTGGGCTGATGGCTCAGAGCCTGGGGCCTGTTTCCGATTCTGTGTCTCCCTCTCTCTCTGCCCCTCCCCCGTTCATGCTCTGTCTCTCTCTGTCCCAAAAATAAATAAACGTTGAAAAAAATAAATAAATAAAATACATAGATTATAATATGAGGGAGTAATACAAGTGTATACATCATTATGGAAAATAAATGACTTTTAGGAAAGATAAATGGGCCCTTATGAGAATAGATAGGGGATAAGACAGTTCTATGACAATATCTGTTTAGATGTGGTTCTGATTTCTATTCACCAGTCATTAGAGTCATGTTTTCCACGGTGCCTGGTTGGCTCAGTCAGAAGAGCATGCAACTCTTGATCTCAGGGTCTTGAGTTTCAACCCCACGTGGCATGTAAAGATTACTTAAATACAACTTAAACAACAACAACAACAAAAAAGAGTCAAGCTTTCCTGGTTGCTCCCAAGGGTTAGGGGATTTATGACAACTGAGTCCTCTTGTGTTCTTTTGGGAGGCTCTGCTCTTAGTCACATAAGGGAGTTAAGGAAAAAGGCCTTCTCAAATGCCTTCAGTTCAACATAATTTTTATGCCATAGTGAAGTCTTCTAGGCCCCTTCAACGTCAAGAAAGGCGATAATGTCTTAATACTTAATTTTACTTTATGAAAACTATGCCAGGGACACACCTTACCTTAAATTAAGCAGGATGTTTTCACAGGGCACTTTTGGCTCCCTGGCATTTGGAGACCTGAAAAAGTTAACCACTAAGTTCATAGCTTCTTCTTCTCCTTCTGTTTATCATCTTCACCGTCATCATCTTGCTCACTCTTCTCTGAGCCTGAGGTCAGAAGAGAACTGAGTGTGAGAAACAGCATAAGGGCCAGCATTGGGTTTGCAGATGATTGCTGGCACATTACTTGATTTTTATTTATTTTTTATTTAAAAAAATTTTTTTTGAAGATTTTATTTTTAATTTTTTTTTTAAATTTTTTTTTTCTCCATGTTTTTATTTATTTTTGGGACAGAGAGAGACAGAGCATGAACGGGGGAGGGGCAGAGAGAGAGGGAGACACAGAATTGGAAACAGGCTCCAGGCTCTGAGCCATCAGCCCAGAGCCCGACGCGGGGCTCGAACTTGCGGACCGCGAGATCGTGACCTGGCTGAAGTCGGATGCTCAACCGACTGCGCCACCCAGGTGCCCCGAAGATTTTATTTTTTAAAGTAATCTCTATTCCCAACATGGGGCTCGAACTCATGACCCCAAGATCAGGAGTTGCATGCTCCACTGACTGAGACAGCCAGGTGCCCCTGTCTTCCAGAGATTCTGACCTAAATGTAACATCCCCAAACAGAGTGGCAGGACCATTTAAAATAAAATTCTGCAGCACCTGGGTGGCTCAGTTGGTTAAGCGACTGACTCTTGATCAGCTCGAGTCATGATCTCACTGTTGCATGATCGAGCCCTGTGTTGGGCTTTGCACTGAGTGTGGAGACTGCTTGGGATTCTCTCTCTCTGCCCCTTCCCTGCTCGTTCTCTGTCCTCTCTCTCTCTCTCAAAATAAATAAACTTAAAAAAAAGTTCTTAGAGGGATGTATCTAAGGTTTATAATCTAGATAGGTTTATAAAATAAATATAGGTGGTTGGATATAAGAATGAATCTCTGGGTTCTCATATCCAGGAGCCATGGTCCTGGCTTCCAAATCTCAGGCTCCAAAGTGGAATGATGAATTTTCTAAGAAGAAACACAGGTTTAGATTTAACTATTGGAAATGAGGGCAGAAATACATCAAAAGGGACCCCTGGAGTAAGAAGCATTAAAAATAAATTTTTTTCTGAAACTGTAAGAATCTTGGATTTTGACATGTTCTGCAACTGACACCCAATGAGCCCTTAGGGTAGGGAGGTAGTACTTTTTCCCCTCAAATGTCCTAGACTAATTTGGGGGAAAGAAAAATGTTTAATTATTAAATTAACATTTTTTTAGATTTAATAAACTCTAAAAGAATAATAACCATTATAATAAATATGATCATTGATATTTTCATTTCTGAAGCCTTTTCTTGGATATTTTATGTGAAAACAATAACATCAGCTTAGTATATCATATCCACGGATGACTTCTAAATTGGCAAGTCTAGGGGCGCCTGGGTGGTTCAGTCGGTTAAGCATCTGACTTCAGCTAAGGTCATGATCTCATGGTTCGTGGGTTCGAGCCCCGCATCGGGCTCTGTGCTGACAGCCTGGAGCATGGAGCCTGCTTTGGATTCTGCATCTCCCTCTCTCTCTGCCCTGACCCCACTCACGCTTTGTCTCTCTCTCAAAAATAAATAAATATTAAAAAAAATTAAAAAAAATAAAAAATAAAAAACAAATTGGCAAGTCTAAAGAAATAGGCCAGTGTTTGAAAACAGGTTTTGGAAATTAATCTTTCTCCCCCAATGACAGTGTTTAAACATGGATTTGTAACACAAGCTCTTTCTTGTAATAGTGCAAAGTGAAGAAAACAACAAAAATATTTTACAACAAAGTGAAAATTAAAAATGAAATAAAAATACACACTAGGACCACTGCTAGCCTCGAAGGAGCATTTGTGGAAATTTGAAGAAAGCCTGTTTCTTTAGGATGTACAGAGCAGGACCACAGAGCATACAGCTTGGCCAGGGAAGCACAGCTGGATTCCAGCCCCCCAAAAAACACCCTTTCCACTGGGTGCCCTTTGTTAAGGCACAACCTGCCCAACATGATGTGCCCACCCTGCAAAATAACATGAAAGTATACCGCCATTTGTGTACATATATACACACACACACACACACACTCACACACACACACACATATCCACACTTATACAGACTATGTCTGAAAAGATATGCAAGGAATTGGTAACATTGGGTGCCTCTGGGGAGAAGAACTGGTGAGGACGGTAGGAAGCAGACATGTTTCCTCAAATATCCTTTGGTGCCTTCTGAACTGCATGATTATTGTATGTATGCATTACTTATTAAAAATATAAAAAATTTAAAGGAGTTTTTATTTTGAAGTAGGGGATAAAGCAAGTACACAAATGAATCTTAGAAACCATGGGAGAGAGTAATGAGGCTGTGGCCATCAAGAGAAGAGTGGGCACTTCTATTTGGGAGGGTCAAGAAAGGGGAGTGACATTGGTCATCTGTTTTGGGGCCTGGATAAGATTTCAGTTAACAGACAGGAGGGAAATGGAAGGAGGTGTTTTAAGGGGAGAGAGAATGGTAAGGGTAAAAACCAGAGGTAGCAAGGAGACTCATCCCCAGAACTCAGTAGGCCAGTTTGTAGTGTAGTGGGTCTGTGTAGGGAGGGGTGGTGGATAAAACTGGCAGGAGTCTGGAATCATATGTGGAAGACTTTGGTTTCTAGGCTGAGACATATAAAACTTGCATAATAAATGAATTAAAGATTTGTAGTTAGAGATGATATCAGATCTCTTCCTAACAGGTATGTATGTATATATATATATATATATATATATATTTTTCTATGAATAGGGAATTTTTTTAAGTGTTTATTGATTAGCAAATGCTGGCAACATTGTATCAGTTATCTGAAGTTGTATTCTTTTTTTTTAATGCTTATTTTTGAGAGAGAGAGAGAGAGAGAGAGAGAGAGCAAGCATGAATGGGGGAGGGACAGAGAGAGAGAGGGAGACACAGAATCCAAAGCAGGCTCCAGGCTCTGAGCTGTCAGCACAGAGCCTGACATGGGGCTTGAACCCAAGAGAAGTGAGATCATGACCTGAGCCAAGTCAGACACTGAACTGACTGTGTCACCCAGGCGCCCCTGAGGTTGTATTCTTTAAAAAAACTTTTCCCCCAATTTTTCTACACTATGTATTTACTAAAGTATTATTAAATTTTAAGTCTACTAGAACCTAAAAAAGTTTTAATCCCATCTATGCTAAGTAAGAAAACTGCAGTATAACAATAAATGAGATCAAGAAAGGGGAGGAAAAAACCCACCCAATAATGACCCCAAAAAACCAAAATCAGAAAACATGATTTTCTAGATTACAGGTCAGGTTTTGAGTGAGTATGAGGCAAATAAAAATAGAATTCCAATTCTGAGATTATGACTTTCTGTATTGCAGGAGTGTCTCTCTCTTTTTAAACCTTTAAACATATTAATTTAAAATTTTGTGTGCATAAATGCTTTTTGTAGGTTAAGTCCAGAAAATGAACTGCAGATATCATATCCAAATTCTGGAGGAATGGAAAATGTATTTAAATTAAAATAAGAAGCTTAAATTGGATAGATGTGAATGAAATGCTTCATCGAAGGTATCCATAGAAACCACTTAAAATAAAGAGAAATGTTAATTCTCTTTGTAAATTGAGCTCCCGGAATCAAAATGAGAGTGAGACATTTAGTATAGGTATGAATACACTTTGGTCTTATCTACATGAAACACACTAATTGACAATTATATTTTTTGGCCATGGTCTCAACTGATAGTGACAACTTATGGCTATAAAACTGATGGGATTCAGCTAGTAAAATAGCTAAGATACATTGGCCTAACTTGTTGATTTAGTCAGCCATGTGATCCGAGAACCATGGCTTTAAGTGTCCCAACCTTTCAAAAGTTTTTCAACAGACAAGAAATTAAACTTTACCACTTTATAGTGATTATATAAGCCATGTGGGGACACCATTAAAAGTAATTTGTAAAAGAACAAATTTTCCTATGCAAACTTCCCAAGCCAAGTCTCCATTTTTCACATTCCCATTTTAGGTGTGTGTACTAGCAGACATGTTTTACATTGCTGCAGTCACAATGTTTGGAATTCAAAATTATATCCCTGTTATACACACACACACACACACACACACACACACACACACACACACACAACATTTTCTGGTTACTAGATTCTTAATTCCTTTTATTATTTTCTATTTATTTATCTATTCAATTTTAGAGAGAGCGAGAGAGCACAAGAGGGGACACGGGCAAAGGGAGAGAGAAAGAGAATACTAAGCAGGCTCCACACTCAGCACAGAGCCTGACTTGGGACTTGATCCCATGACCCTGGTATCATGACCTGAGCCGAAATCAAGACTTGAACACTCAACTGACTGAGCTACTCAGGTGCCCTCTTCTTAATTTCTTAATTTTCCCTTGTCACAATCAGAAATGATGTCCCTGAGTTGATCATTTGAGAAGTGCTAACTGTTCATTATTACTAAATATAATAATTCATTATTGCTAACTGAATGGCTCTTTCTTACTCTTCCCCATTATGGGTAATTCTATAATGAACTACTTTTGACTTCGCTCATTTCATATTCCAGCTGATGTACACTAGGCCTGCTGTTTTTAATGGCCTCAGACATTCCCAACCATTTTTGCTACAGGACATCTTTCTACTCTTAAGAATTACTGAGGTTCTAAAGAGCTTTTGTTTATGTGAATTCTATCTACCAGTGTTTACTGCATGAGAAGTTAAATTGGTACATTTAAAAATACTTGTCTTAAAATAACAATGACGCATTCATTATATGTTAACGTAAATAACTTCATTTTTATGAAAAAATGACTGTGTTTTCCCAAATAAATTCAGTGAGAAGAATGGCATTGTTTAGCATTCTGCAAATCTTTTTAATATTTGTGTCAATGGAAGACAGCTGGATTCTCATGTCTACTTCTGCATTCCATCTGTTGTAGTATCTCACTTCATGTAGCCTCTGGGAAACTTAGTGAAAAAGGCATGAACATCTTAGTATTATCATGAAAATAGTTTTGGGGCACCTGGGTGGCTTAGTTGGTTAAGTGTCCAACTTCATGATCTCACGGTTCCTGAGTTCGAGCCCCATGTCAAACTCTGTGCTGACAGCCCAGAGCCTGCTTTGGGTTCTATGTCTCATTCTCTCTCTCTGTCTTTCCCCTGCTCGCACTCTGTCTCTCTCTCAAAAATAAATAATAAAAACACTAAAAACAAAGTTTGAAAATAGTTTTGACCTGAAAGGATGTTGGTTATCCCCAGGGACTTCAACCACACTTTGAAAACCTACTGGTGCATACCCTAGCAAATACACAAAATTCTTACATGGCTATGGGGTGATATACTTTGTAGTCCTCGAAGACACTTCCCAAAGAAAAGTCTTCATTTATTTTGCTGTTTAAAGAAATTGATAACAGTGATTGTTTATTGTCAAGATCTCTTCCTATTTTCCTTTCTCTGCAGGTCGGTGAGTACTCACTGAATGCTAGTGAATTAAGTTTCAAATTTAATAGGCGTTAATATTAACTTTTCCAGTTAGAATTGAAGTGTTTCAGAGTTGGAAATGCTCAGAGAGAAACACAGTATCTATCATCTGCTCACATACGAGATGGGGACTTCTGGTTGTATGTAAAACAATTTTAGGTGAGATAACTTGGGGTAGTACCATTGTTAAGTACTACCTCAAGTACTTACTGATGTTAAGTAACGTTGAGTAAGGTAGTGAGAAAGGTGTTTCCAGTTGGAGTCTCTTCCCACCTGGTTACATTGAGGAGAAAGTCTCAGAGTGTATTTGTTAATATGTCTTCAATATACTTTAACTAACTGCAATGTCTTTAACTAACTTGCATATTTTCCAATTTAACATAAGGTTAGCCTAAGTCTTAGAGCTAGCCTACGGCTGGCAAGAGTGTCTAGCTATAATTTAACGTTATTATTTTTAATCATCTCATTTTTATTATTACCATCTATTTAGAGCAAGTCATGTTGGTTTTTAAGTTTAACTTACTTAAAAATATTTAGTTTTTAAAAGTACATTGATTTAAGGAAGAATAGTTATTAAATAATAATATGAGTGGTATGAGTAATAAAGTGAATGACTGAGGTTTGGAAAAAAACTGATTTAATTCTATCTTCAATTTGCTGGTAGTGAAATCAAGGCATAGAGAAAATGGATTTGATGGAAGTGGCCACAGAGACGTTGGCCTCTTTACTGTCCGTCAAGAACTCTTTCTACTACAGCCTAGGAGTGCTAACGTCTAACATTTAACATTTCACCATTAGGGCCTGCCCCGGAGGCCAGACAAATCCAGGTTAAAACCCCTGCACCATTCCAGGCTGGCAGTGTCATCTTGGACAGAAAGCTTAGCTTCTAACTCCTATGTTTCTCTACTTAGGAAGTCAACATAATTCCTATTTCACCTTAATACTTTGCCAATATTAAATGAGATAATATTTTCAATGATTTAAAATGGCTCCTGGCAACTTAGTCGACAAAGCTATTTTTATTAGCCGAAGTTACTCTCAGTGAACTGCAGAGCATTTGGAGCAAAAGAATCTTCTTAGCCAGGGCTTGGCTCCAGTGTGTGTGAACTGCATCTGCCACTTGGATCCTTAATTAATTAAAGACTGGAAATCATTGCATTTCTCCGGAGGAGATGAACACGTCAATGGTTGCAGGGAATGAAAGGTAAAAAGGGTTAACTGGAAAACTTGTGCAACCAAGGGTTAAAATAGCCTTGAAGCAAAAGCAGAAGAGTTCTGGCCTCCGGCTTATGATGCAAAGCCAAGTGTGTTTGCCTTTGTGAGACCAGGAATGCTTCTGGTGAGCCTTGTTTGTTGTGGAAACTGACATGATCAAAGTGGAAAGAATTAAAACGATCCATCAGAATAATAGCCAAGGCTGTATATGGACTCCCCAGACAGAGACTTGAACCTGAAAGTTCCCACTGAGGACAGACAAGCCGGCTGACAGCAAGCAGCTGTAAAGGACGGGAAAGTGTCTCTCTAGGCAGACGTGTGCAGCTGGGCAATAAAAACCCTGAGTCTGAAACTAGATGAGAGTTCATTCAGATTTGGGGAGATGAAATGGTGAGGAGTGTGGACTCGTGTTCTTTAGGAACCTTGGCAACACCTAGGCTGTGGTTTTCAGGTGTCAGCTTGTTGAGTGGAGTTACTAAGTGAAGCAGGCACTTTGTATTAAAGCATTTGGGGTAAGAAAACTGCTAATTGTGATGGAGATTCTGTGCCAATGGCACAGCTCTAAGTGTTGGAGGCATTATGTCATGCTTTTCCCCAGAGCAGTCTCCAAATGTTGAAAAATTCTCATTATGATTAAGTAGAATTAAGAGTCCCTAAGTGGCTGGCATGATTTTGTATTGTTTGCTCACTTAGTCCTTTATCCCAGGATGAGGATTAGTTAAACTCTTTGATATTCTATCAAGTATGAAATGACCTTGGAGCCCCAACTGTTGCTAAGTTAGGATGCCTACTGGAGGCATCCAAGGAATTACAAGACAGAAGGGTGGGATAAGATCTTAAAGAAGCCCGGTGCTACTTACATATTTTAGAGGTGGGGAAACTGAGGCCTGGAGAGGAGAAACAACTTGCTCAATATTACACAGAGTCTTCTGCTTTTCAGGCCAAGGTTTGTCTGTTGCTATGTTAAGGAACCCCCAGAAAATGGACTATTGGCTTAGGATAACACCCACAAGAGGTAGTGTCACATTGTGGGCATATGTAATTTGAGATACTGAAAGGTTATCACACTGTTTTTATTTTCAAAAATAATAATGATCTTGCTTTTTGTCTGGGTTTTTCTTTGTATATATTGGCATAGCATTTTAATCTCTCTCCCTCCCAGGGCACATTTTACCAGGACTCTCCTGGACAGAGGCAGGTAGATGCAGAGTGAGGCTTTTACAAAGATCACTAACATGCCAATACTGGGCCCAATGAGATAATTTAATAATCATAATACCTTACACTGAGCGCTTTACAAATCACTTCTTAATCTCTTCTTTCATTAGTCCATACACAATCCTAAGAGGGAGGCAGAGCAGTTATTACCACCATCCATCTTATGGATGCACTAAGCAGGAGCCTGGCCGCTTCCCTGGGGTCACAGGCCCCAGAATAGGTGAACAGAGTCCAGCTGGGGGCTCCAGCCTCCCAGGACTGTCAGGTTGGGCACCTCTCCCAGTGAGCAGTGGCCTGGACGCCTGGATTCCCTAGGGTGCACGCTCTGAGCTCTTGACTTGATGGGAGTTTCAGGAAATTCTTTTTTGCAGAATTCATTTTTTTTTTTTTTTCTCCCAGAGGGAGGGACTAGAAGTGAAGAGAGGTGCTCAGAAGGAGCTAGAGCAGGTTGGTGGTGGAAAGGGCAGGGGGGTGGGTTGAGGGGGTGGGTGAGTGGAGAAGGCAGCCTGGAAGTCTTGGCATTTAAAAAAATAAGAACCAGGAAAAGGTTTGAGTCTGTAGACTTCAGATGGGAAATCCCAGGAAGAGGCTCCTCCTTGTCCTTTCTGTGGGCTCCCAGCATTTGCTAACTTGAGGAAAAGGTTTGACGTTTGCATTTCTTGTTATCTGCCCTCCTCCAGGAGGGTACCCGAGGAGTTTGGGTTCACAGACTTCTAGGCACTGGGCCCCATTCGGCAGGGAGGTGGGGGAGAGCCCACAGGCCTCCTGTGGAGTAGCCTGGGGATGGGAGGAGAAAGTCGGCCTGGAATCAAAGCAGTAAGAGAAACCCGGGGGAGGGGGGGGGGGGCGGCGGGAGCGGCTATTGGGCTGCCTCTCTGCTCTCAGCCAAGGCTTTGCCCAAGCTAATTTCCTGCCAGGCCCTAACACAGGTACCACCCCTTTCCCACCCTTCTTCCAGATCCACTCCATCTCTAACATCGCTAAGGGAGGGAACCCAGAAAAAGAAAGCTGGGCCTTCTAGGTTTCTGTTTGCTTTGCAACCACTTATGGAACAAGAATTAGGGCCCACAAATGTGGCCCCTCAGGAATGACCCCCACCCCCACCTCCCAACTCTAGTTGAGTTACCAAATGAGGCCAATTCATTCTCTGGAATGTTGCAGCCCAGGCAATGATGATTGATACTGACAGGGAAGCTTTCATGTAGCAATATCCCCGGCCACCGGCTGTGAGGCAAAGAGAAAGAACTCTCTGGAATTCACAACATTCCCCCTCCAATTAATCCCCAGCCACCCCGCTGTGTGTGAATGGGTTGTGCTGGGGATTCGTAGCTCTGATGCGGGGGATTTGCTGATTCCTTTGAGCCCCCTGAGGAGAGGTGATATGGAGAGCAAATAATCAGCATGCAGCACGGAGGCGAGGTAATGAATTGGCTCGGCTGGGCCTGTCTTCACTATTTGTACACTTTTAGGCACCTCGGAAACTGGGTTTGCAGACAAAAACCTGTGCTGAGGGGCCCTCAACCCCCGACCTTTTGTGGGCCTGGACCCCTGCGGCCTCTCCTACTAGCTTAAGATTGGAGCCGTGTCTCAGAAAGGAGGAGCCAGAGGTAAAGTGCCCAGTGCCCGGATTCTGACTCTCCCCACCCCCACCCCACCGGCGCCGTCAGACACTCACCCCAGTCAGGACCAGTTTCGCTCTGTTTGCATTCGACTGAGTTGCAGTTTTCAGTCTAAGTCCACTGCCTTTCAGAATGCGGTTTACTTTTCACTCAGGGCTCCAGGTGCATCTCTGCGAAGCCTTCGCCGCCGGCAAGATTAAGCTGTGGCTTTTCCGTGTTTGCAGAGCATTGTGACAGGCCCACGGTATTTTGTTTTGCTGGATGAGGGGTCTGTCTCGGTCCGCTTCGGTGCCTCCCATGGTACTCAAAAATAATAATAGTACCTGACTAAAATAGTAACTAACGTTTGTTGAGCACTTACTATGCAGGCACTAAGAGTTTACATGCATTATCACATTAAATCCTCACAGGGATCTCTGAAGTTGGTGCCATTCTCTGCTTTATTTTATAGAGAGGACAAAGAGGCTTAGAAATTCCTAACCAGCACGGGGTCACAGACTGGAAGTGGTAACTGGTAAGTAGGAGGAGTCAGATTCCCACAAGGGTCTGTCCCTCCGTACAACCTCCGGTTCCCACCAACCCCTTGCTTCTGTTTAGGCTCTCTAGGCTCTCTGTTGCTTCTCGCCTGGAGAGCCTGCCACATATCTTCCAGCTTCCAACCAGCAGAGCTTCAACTCCCCCATCCACACTGCAGCCAGGAGGAGGGCTCTAGGAGAGACACCCCAATGGGTCACTCCCCTCTTAAACTCTTCAGAGTTTCCCCAAACCACCTAGGAGAAAGTTCAAATGCCTCAGCTTAGCACACAAGCCCCTTTGTGATTGGGCACCTGGAAAGAATTAAATAAAGACTGAGGAGATAATCCTAATAACCCCTTGAAGGAGTCTGCTGGGTGGGGCTGTGAAGGGAATATGGGTCCCTTTTTCTGAGGCTCCAGAGTCTCCTTCTGGGCCTGGCTCCCCAGGGCAGTTTCCACTCTGACCCTGCCCTCATCTTGTCATTCTTTACAGTTGCTACTGTTTACTTGCCTTCCTGTGTCCCTCCTCCTCCATTCAGGATCGAAGGTTTTGGATGCAGATTTTACTTTTGGTTCCATGATATCTGAAGGGAATTCACGCTGAACACTTTTATTTTTAAGGATTTTTGTTGTCAGGAACCACAGGGCACTAGACAAAAACTATGACAATGTCCCTAACTATTTGAAGCTCATTGTCAACCACTCTGAGGTTTCATATTTTACGGGCCAAGAAATTGCATTTTTGTACACTGAATTTGGGTTTTCCTCGATTGACTGGCAAATGAACCACTCAGGCTCTCCCACGGGTCCTGCCTGCCAGTCCCTGTGCGGTGTTAGCCACAGCATCTTTGTTTTCACAGCAGTGCTACTATAATTATTTAAGCATTTCATTATAAGCTGTCCTTATTTTATACAAACATGTGTAAAACTGAAATAGTCAATAGTCTATCAACCGTACTTATTGAGATGCTGTTATAAGTGGCGGAATGTGGCAAACAGAACAGCTAAGATCCCTGCATTATGTAATTTACGTCAGGAGGGCTGAGAAAGATCATGTACAAACAAATAAATATGCAAGATCATGGTTAGCAGCATAAGGAAATAAAACAGGGTAATGTGATAGAGAAGTGGTGATGCTGCTTTAGATTAGTGACAGGACGGGCTTTCTTTTTTTTTTTTTAATGTTTATTTATTTATTGAGAGAGAGAGAGAGAGAGAGAGAGAGAGAGAAGAGGGGCAGAGAGAGGGAGAGAGAATCCCAAGCAGGCTCCACACTGTTAACCCAGAGCCTGACCATCAGTTGCAGAGCTTGACCTGGGGCTCAGTCCCACTAACCATGAGATTGTGACCTCAGCCAAGAGTCAGATGCTCAACGGACTGAACCACCAAGGTGCCCCTAGAGGATGGGCTTTCAGAGCAGGTGATATGTGAATGGTAACCTGACTGGTAAGAAGGAACCATCCATGCAAATAATAGGAAGTAAGGCATTCCAGGCAAGTGCCAAGGACCCAAGATGGGAAGAAGCTTCTCTTTGAAGGCACAATAAAGAGGCTGGAAGCGATGGAGTATGTTGAATGAGCAGAAAGTGGGATGGGAGATTAGGCAGGAGATGTGAGCCAGCAGATCTTTAAGATCTTGTAGGCCAGTGGCTTTCAAACGTATTTCCCAGAGAAAATACATTTGACATTGCATTCCACTACACACACACACACACACACACACACATCTGAAAGAGAAGTTTCATGAGATAATATTTATTCTTACTACATACAATAAACTCTGATATTTTCTATTTTATTTTATTTTAAAATGCTGATCCTTCCCCAGAACATTGGTTTCACACCTTACTAAATGGCTTGGTTTGGACTGCTCTGTTCTAGACCATAGCAAGGAGTTTGGATTTTATTCTTGGTATAATTGGAAACCTCTGGGAAGTTGTGAGCGGAGAGTAATATGGTCTGATTTATGTTTTTAGCTTTGCTGTCTAGAGAGCAAATTATGTGAGGGTGGGTGAGAACAACAGCAGGGAGATGAGTTAGGAAGCTATTGCATTGCATCTAGTGAAGAAATAATGGTGGCTTAGACTAGAGTGGTAGCAGAGGAGACTGAGAGAAGTGGATGAATATTATAACATTTGGAGGTAAAGCCAACATTGGATGTGTGTGGAATGTGAAGAACAGAGAGGAGGCAAGGATAACTCCAAGAGCTGTTTGTTTTTAGCAATATGTGGTGCAGTCATTTCCTGAGATGAAAAATTGCAGAGTGATCAAATTTCGGGGAATGAGAACATTGCTTTGGATATTTCAAGTTTAGGATTCATACTATACATCTTATTGGAGATGTTAGGTAGGGATTTAGAAATACCAGTAAAGGTGCTTTGGTGAAATATCAGGGTTAGCAATGAAGCTTTAAGAGTCAAGGGCATATGGATATGATTTAAAGCCATAGGTCTACAGGAATTTACCTAGAGAGAATGTGTGGCTAGAAAGGAGCAGTAAATCATTAGATTTAGTAAATCTAAGTCATTAGATATACTGAAAATCTCAGGTAGTCATCCATTGGACATAAGGAGGACAACTGTTAAATTACAGAGGAAAAACCAAATCTAAGAATATATGTGAAATGTTAGCAGTATATCATCTAAAGTGTCCTTAGGAATTTTCTAATACATTTAATTTTCTGTGGATTGACCTCCTCTCACATTGTTTGCATGACTTCTTGTTGAACTTTTACTCATATAACTTTAGTGTGCTTTTCTAGAAGTTCTTTACAAAAGTGGAAGACTATCTGTATACAAGATCTTATTCTTTGACTTTGTTTAAAACATTGCTCTTATTCTCTCACATCTATGTAGATATTCTAGCTGAAGAAGTTTATATTCTCATTCAACCTAACTTTCTTTCTGGGGCTGGAACACATCTATTTTCACCTTTCTTGCTAAGGAGACCCCATTCTTTGTCTACTATTTCCCATCTCTTTCTGTCACATAGGGTGTCAGGATGACTTAATTGTGTAAGCCATTCCAAGAAAAAAAAAAAAAGATTCTTCCCTCCTTTCCTTTCCTTTCCTTTCCTTTCCTTTCCTTTCCTTCCCTTCCCTTCCCTTCCCTTCCCTTCCCTTCCCTTCCCTTCCCTTCCCTTCCCTTCCCTTCCTTTCCTTTCTCCTCTCCCTTTCCTTCCTTCCTTCCTTCCTTCCTTCCTTCCTTCCTTCCTTCCTTCCTTCCTTCTTTCCCTCTTCTTTTTTTTTCCTTTCTCTTTTTCTCAAGGGCAGTAGTTTTCAAGCTTCAAATGAAATCTTAAGTTAAAGCTCCAGAGAGGAAATGAGCAATGGAATAATGGTACCTTCTTCTTTCCTTTGTGGAGACCTTATCAGCAACTTTATGAAATCTAGGTTTCTTCAAATCATTACTGAAGTGGATTCATTTCCTCTTTGAGGAGTCTTCAGGTAAGAGGAATCTCTAATGTCTATGAGCCAGTTGTTTACCCAGAGAAGGTAAGTAAAGATGGTTTCCTGTGACAGCATCACTGATAGTATTTCACCCTCGAGGAATAGTGGAGAGCCAGAGAGCTTATACAGATTGCATCTTAAAAAGAGAATCATATTTTGCGAGTTGGTCAGAAAATACGGTATGCCCAATGATTTAAATAATTTAATACAAATACGACGGTGTGATTTCTTTTTTCCAAAAGGCAATACAGTATAGTTTTGATAATGCTCCCTCTGGAATCAGAAACCTTGAGTTCAGTCTCTGCTTTATCTCTTATCAGCTGTAAGCCTGGCATCAGAGCAAATAATGTAACATCTCTGAGCTTCAGGTTCTTTGTCTATCGGTTGGGCAAAGAATCTTCCTCATTTGTTGCAAAGATTAACCAAGAAAAGAACACACAGAGCACCTAGTACCAGCAGTACTTGTCATACAGTAGGCTCTTAACATAAGACAAATAGTTATTATGATTATATTGTTGCATTGCCTACTTTGGTGACAAACATGAAGACCTGGATCAGATATGACCTCCAACCCTGTAAATGCTGATGAGACATCTGGCTGATATTGAGATGGAGCATGACATGTGTCTAAGGGCTAAGTGAAATGGATTTTGTAATATATGGTCATACCTTGGATGACTTCTCAGAAACTCAAGTCTGTTATATACCTAAGGAAATGAAAAAGCCAAAAACTTCTGGCACCTGGCCTAACGGCCTGGGCTCTTTTGAGTCAATATGGTTTGTCCTCTTTGTTCTTATTTAATAGGAGTTAGGTCCTGACCACAGCTCATTTCTACATGACTTCATCACTGGGATGCCTCCCTAAGTTTTCAGAATAGCAGACCACAGAGGATAAACATAACTAAGACATAATTTCTATGGAAATGGAGGCCTGCAAAATGAAAACTGAGATTCATTTATTCGTTCTTTCATTCATTCCATAAATATCTACTGAACTTTGTGTACTGAGGACACATATGTATAGAGACTGTATCGTGATAGTGACAAGACAGACAAAACCTTGCCCTCATGTGAGGTCAGGCAATAAATAAATACATAAACAAAAAAAGATAATTACAGGTTGTGGTAAGCGTGGTGGGGAAAGTAAGCATGGTGCTGTGACAGAGACTCTAATAGTTAGGAAGGGCTTCCCATAGGAGACGGGGTTCAAGATGAGACCAAAAAATCAGCCACATGAATAGTCAAAAGAGAAGCTCTCTGGACAGAGGCAGCACCAAGGGTGCTGAGGTGTGAAAGAACTGGAAAGTTTAAGAGCTTCTAGAAAGCCAGCATGACTGGAGTATAATGAAGGAAAGAAGGGGAAACTTGAAAATTTGCTGCATCTATGGGAAGTCACTGGGGGCTTTGAAATAAGGGGAGTGACATAAGCTGGTTTTTATTTTCAAAAAAATCAATGTAAAAAAGAGCTGATGGGAGAAGGCTAAGAGTTGGCACAGTAGGAGAGCTAGGAGGTGACATGGATGAAAATGGATAGTGGCTTAGGGCAGAGAGGACTAGAGAGTCTCAGGATTTAGTTTGGAGACAGAGCAATATCATTTGCTGATAGTGAGAGAAAGGAAAAAATCATAATTTCTGGCTTAACAACTGGTGGTCTGTCATTTTCAGAGAAAGGGAAGACTGTGATATGATCAGTTTAGGAGTTGAGTGAAGAGGGACTCATATGTTTTCATTTCAGAAACGTTTAGTTTGAGATGTTGGTGAAACCAGCAGGCAGATATGCCAGAAAGTCATTGGATGTGGAAGAAACTCTAGAGCTCAGATGGACTGCTAAGCTGGAGACAGAAGTTTAAGGATCTTTAGAAACTGTTTATATTTGAATCCAAGGGTATGGGTAAAACCATCTAGGGAGAGGAAGAATGAAGAAGGGCCCAGAATCTGCCCTTGGGGACTCCAAAATTAAGATGATTATAGAGGAAAAGGAATTAGTAGTAGAAACTAAAAAGCCATGGCCTTGAGGTAGGAGGAAAATCTTAAGTGATGTCTCTAGGGGGAAAAATAAAAAAGCTTGGACAGGTAAGTGTGGTAAGAGTGAAGAAGTGGTCAACTGTGTCAAAATCCATTTGTAAACCCAAACTTCTCTATATGACACTCAACAGCACCCACTGGGGCAAGGTTGATCCTGGCTAAATCTCCCAAAAGTATCAGAAGGGCAATTTATTTAACCTTTTTTTTTTTGAAGTCAATATAAGAACTTTATTATTTTTTAATTTCAGCTTTATTGAGGTATAATTGAATTACTTGAATTTTCTGAGTGTTTCTTCATTTATAAAATAGGGGAAATACATGCATCTCATAGGCATTTGTAAATAGTGAATAAGATAATTTATATAAATATTCATAGAACATTAGGTATACAGTCTTCAATAGATGGCAGTTGTTATTATTAAATAGCATTATGTGTAGAAACCAGAAGACCCACATTCTTTTTTTTTTTTAATTTTTTTTTAATGTTTATTTATTTTTGAGACAGAGAGAGACAGAGCATGAATGGGGGAGGGGCAGAGAGAGAGGGAGACACAGAATCGGAAGCAGGCTCCAGGCTCTGAGCCATCAGACCAGAGCCTGATGCGGGGCTTGAACTCACGAACCGTGAGATCGTGACCTGAGCTGAAGTCGGACGCTCAACCGACTGAGCCACCCAGGCGCCCCTAGAAGACCCACATTCTAATGATTTTAATGTAGACTCTGCATTTAACAGTGGTTTTATTGGGTAATAGTAGTAATTTGAATTTCAGTTTCCTTACTAGTCAATTGGGGACAATAGTTCTTGTCCTGCCTTCTTTTCTTATAGGGCTGTCAGAAGGATTCAATGGTGTAGTGACTATGGGAGGGCTTTATAAGCCATCCAGTACTGAGGAGATATGAGGACTTTCTATTTGTTCAGTAGAATTTCTATTTGTCTAGCTTTCAAATCAGCCCACTGTCTACACTTTAGGAGTGCTGGGAATAGGTTTGAGGGAAGCAATAGACAAAACTGGAAAATGACATTTTTTAACTCAACCCAAACTTATCAGATTTAAGGTTCAGCTTGGGCACACTCTGTTTCCTTCATTTTCTTTTGAAGGGATCCACAAGAATCAAGATATTAATGCAAGTGCAGAGCCAGAATCTCTCTGATATTCCTTTGATGGAAGCAGAATGTTCCTACCTCAGGCCCTTTGTACTTGATGGTTTCCTCTGCCTGAAACATAATCACTTATATATCTATATTGGCTCATTCCTTATTCTTTCAGTTCTGCTCAAAATTCAGCTTATCTGAACCTTTTCCAGACCAGCTGCTTTAAATTAGCACACACACTCAGCCCCCCATCCCCCCACTTCATTTTCCTTCTGACACGGTCCACTCACTAGAATAGAAATTCCACAAGGAAAGAGATTTGTTGGTTCTTTGAGCCCTTTATTTCTAATATCTGGTGCTTATTAGGCACTGAAAAAAATGTTTGCTGAATGAATGAATAAATTGATCAGAACCTGATGACTCCATAAAGGAGCAAAGACATTAGGAGTTTAAAAAGACGTGGAGACAACCCTTAATTCTATCGTTCACCACAATGGTAAACTGATCAGTGTCAGTTTCTTTGGTCTATTATGTGAGGATACCTGACTATATTCCTTAGAAAGCTGTGAGGATTAAAGGAGACATGGAATTTAACTGTAATCAGAGTAGAGAATTAACATTTATTGAGCATCCACTACAGGCTGGATCCTTTACATAAAATCATTCTCATAATACTATTGTAAGGCAAGTATCATTTTTTTCCCTATTTAACTGAGATCAGTCTGAAGCTCAGAGAGTTGTTACCCAAACAGTAAATGGTGGAGTTACTGTTTTCATCTAGCACCTTTCATACCCTTTTCACCATGGGCTACTTTTCACATGTCAGTTGTTATTTTCAGGAGCCAAATGTGGAAGCCAATGCTGCATATTGAGTTGTCATCAAATCTTGATAAAAGGACAGCAGTGTGAAAGAAGAGATTTTGGCAAGTGAAACTTGTCTCCTTGTTGTGGTTAAATCTTGCAAAGGAAACTGCAGCCAGCTCTCCTGAAAGTGCTGTAGTCAATTTGTAGGGTCAATAACAGTTTCCTCAGTCTCTGCCTGACCAGGGGGCTTGACTTGTTTCAGAGCCTCTCTGGAGCGTTTGGTGGCTCATTTCACCTCTGCTCTTCAGCAAATGTGGGATCTACTGAAGAAAGGCTCTACACTCTGCAGACTCCCTTCATGTGCTACAAAATAGAGACAGAAGGGCCAGGTCAAAGCAAAATCCTGGCTTTCTTCTTTCGAAGCCTGTTCTGGCCCTTTCTTTAAAAAGATTTTTTTATATATATTTATTTTTGAGAGGGAGAGATAGAGAGTGAGCAAGAGCGAGCACGCAAGCTGGAGAGGGGCAGAGAGAAAAAGGGAGAGAGATATCCCAAGAAGGCTCTGCACTTTTAGCACAGAGCCTCAACGCCAGGCTTGAACTCAGAACTGTGAGACCATGATGCAAGGTGGAACCAAGAGTCAGACATTTAACTGACTGAGCCACCCAGGTGTTCCTGTTCTGGCCCTTTCTTTATTTAAAAACAGTTTTTAATGCTTATTTATTTTTGAGAGAGAGAGAGAGAGAGAGAGAGAGAGCACAAACAGGAGAGGGGCAGAGAGATAGAAAGAGAGGGAGATGTGGAATCTGAAGCAAGCTCCAGGCTCCCAGCTGTCAGCACAGAGCCTGATGCAGGACTCAAACTCATGAACCATAAGATCATGACCTGAGCCAAAGTCAGAGGCTTAACTGACTGAGCCACCCAGGAGACCCTGTTCTGGCCCTTTCTAATGTATGTTGTAACTGCTGCCCAGGTCTCAGAGAATTTCTTTTTTAGATTTTCTACGTCTCAAATATATTTTTAGTGAATGGTGTCTTCTGCCCTTCAGGGTTTCTGGGCCACTTAGGCCCAGGTGAGTCACCTGTCTCAAAGGAACGCTGCTGATTCTGACAGAAAGCCCCATGAATGTAGATTTCTGTCTCACTGGTCTTCTTCTTCTTCTTTTTTAAGTTTATTTTACTTATTTTGAGAAAGATAGTGCACAGGAGAGGCAGATAGAGAGAGAGAGAGAGAGAGAGAGAGAGAGAGAGAGAGGGACTCCCACACTGGCTCTGCTCTGTCAGCACAGAGCCCGACGCAGGGCTTGAACTCACGAACCTCAAGATGATGACCTGAGCCCAAACGAGGAGTGGATCACCTAACCAACTGAGCCACCCAAGTGCCCCTTATTTTTCTTTTGGTTGTACTGGTGGGGAAAGGTGGTTTTTGAACACAATAAATTGCTTTAACAAGCCAGGTTTCCCATTTGTTTCTCAGTTTAGGTGAGGTGGCAAGTCTGGTTACATAAATAGGTTTCTTAGAACAGTAATTCTCACACTTTTCATGTTCCTGGTATTTTTAGTTGCAGGGCTTAAAAGGATTAAAAGATTCATCCAACAGCAGTAAACAAGTTAGCAGTCATTATCGATCAGTCTGAACTACAGAGAATAATATTGTCTTACATTTTAATTTTTTTTCACTATTCCCTTGATCTTCCAGCATTGCTGTTGCTGTTTGCTAGAAAATTTGAATATCCTAACTACTCTTTTTTATATACACAGAGGACAATGTTCTCAAGTGTTCCAGCAAACACTTCTTTCTTTGGTACCTGCTTGAATCTGTGATACAAATCTTTCTGGTTCAGAGCAAGTTTTGCTCTGACTACATCATGTTACATAAGCCACTGAATGCAATGCTTAATCAGTGGCTAAACAGAATATCTTTAGTGATAGCCAAAGTGTATTGAGCATGTTGATAAAAAAATTAGTTACACATACAGATTGTTGGATACATAGGTGTTCTGTGTCACACTATTGGTAAACTATTGATCTGGACAAATGCAGTCTAAGCTTCTGACTTTCTCTGTTCTCTTTTATTTTCCTCTTTCATATATAACTGTATTTAACTTCTGCTTTTGCCAAGATAGTTTGTGGGAGGTTTTTTTTTTTCTTCCCCAAATACCAGCCTTCTTTTTCTCTGAGTCAAATAAGGTCACGAAACAGAGTATCTTAACACAACTCTGGTCCTGAATAAAAGAATCCAGTTTGTAGAAATTACATTAGTGGGAAAAAAATATGAGTTTGATATTCAGCCACTTGGTAATTGGGTGGTGTTGGTCTGCACTCCTATTCCTTCCTCTGTAAAATAGAGATAATAATACCTCCTACTTGTGAGAAGTGGATAATGTATGGAGTATATGTGGCACAGTGCTTAGTCAGTATTCATTTCCTTTTCTTTAAGGCCTTCTCCTCTTCTGGGGACCTCTATGTGTTTGCTGGTGCTGCCATCTGAAAAATTTGGGTGAGATCTGAAGGATAGATGAGTTGGAATTGACAGACAATGAGTAAGCAAGAGTTGAGGCTGCTTCCCTGAAGTGGACAGATGCATATTAACATTATTCTTCGTAGGATGTTTAAACATAGCCCCGTTTTCTTGCATCTGGTGTGTGTGTGTGTGTGTGTGTGTGTGTGTGTGTGTGTGTGTGTGTGTATGTATGTACTGTGTACACATACACACACACACACACACCCAGAAAATCTCAGTAATTCCATTCTCCCTTGGCTTGGGTTCTCCTAATCCTAGACAGCAGGGCTGAAGAAGGAGGAGAGGAAGATAGGGATATTGGGGGAAGAGCTGATGAAAAGGTGCATTATTAAGCTGGTTGTATGTGGTATCAAGTGTGTCTGTTACCTAATCTCATGGGACTTTCTGAGAGACCATAAAAACAATTGCTTCTTAAGTCAGTCCTTCCTGGGCAGAAAAGAGGGAGATTTTATCCATGTGCTTCCATTTCTTAGTGGTCAGAAGTTTGCTTCCTAGGACATTAATTCTTTTGCACTTCCAGGTTGTGCTATGTGGTACCTAGCAGGTCCCACGTCATCTCATCCTTCAGCATCAACTGGAGTAGGAGGCAAGATGTTCATTGTGTGGACATGTGTAAAATTCTGTTAGGTGGTGCCCACATTAGGTTTGTCAGAGTCCAACCAGAGTTTGTCAATATGTCGGCTATTGGTGCTGGAATAGTTTGGTAACTACAGAGGTCGAGAGAATCTGAAGCAACCATAAGTGGTATATGAAACAATCCACCCCCTTGCACTATTCACATCAACCTATGTGCTGTCATGATACCTGTCTACCACATACAGTGATCTCTCTCTTTCTTTTGTTTGGTGAGAACAGCATGCTGTCAGCTTCAATTGATTCCAAGAGTATAATAAATATCATCTCCCTTCTTCTCCATCTATTCTAGAATTCCATCACCTTCAGTTGCTTGCCTGCTGGAATGACATGGATTCTCATCCCTGAGGGTATGTATTCATAGTTGCCTTGCCTTTGTCAAGCTATGGTTGCTACAATTGATTATATGTTCAGCAAAAAACCACCAAGAGATCCCATAGTGAATTCTTGGGTTCCTGACACATCCTTTTTTTTATCCCTATTACGTAGAAGTAATTCTGGATTCCTTCTCATGATAATGAAGATCAGTTACCCTTGAGAAGACAATAACTCCTTTCTTGCCTATTGTTTCCTGGTATAAGGAGCTCAAAGTGGAGAGGTAGGTCACACCTTTAAGTTCAGCAGGAACCTTTCTGTGTCATGCAATAGAAGCATTCTCCCATCCCACCCTACCCATCTGGTCCCCAGGAACCACAATCTCTAACCTTGTAGAACCTATGATTGGAAAGTACAAATTCTATGAGTTTTAGAAATATGGTAAAAGAACCCATTTTATTTTCACCCTGTGCTTCTCATACCCATGTATTCATGCTATTTATAATTTTTTTTAATGTTTATTTATTTTTGAGACAGAGAGAGACAGAGCATGAACGGGGGAGGGTCAGAGAGAGGGAGACACAGAATCTGAAACAGGCTCCAGGCTCTGAGCTGTCAGCACAGAGCCCGACGTGGGCTCGAACTCACGGACCGCGAAATCATGACCTGAGCCGAAGTTGGCCGCTTAACTGACTGAGCCACCCAGGCGCCCCAATATTCATGCTATTTAAAATAAAGCATCACTGTGTATATGCCATTAATCAGCACATACTCTCCATCCTAGAGGATAGCAACCAATCCTGACCTGGCAACCTTAGCTACATGGGGCTCTCCAGTGTTCTATCAGACAGCTTCTCCTGGTGAAGGTCTATGTAGTTAGATGAGTGATTCATGTAACTGCATCCACTGCAACACTTCTTTTGGCATAAATAGTGATCTTGCTCCAAAAAGTGGTGTATAGAACAAGATGCTAATAGATCAGGTATCCTGTGAGTTGGTGGATGGTGATGCTGAGGGAAGTGCAAGGGAAAGCAAATTGACATCCAAACTAGATTTCTATTTCAGTGAGACAAAATCACTATCCTTTTCATGGTAGAGGTGGCCCATTGTATTTGTCTACTGCCAACCTTTAGGTTGCCTCAAGGGATGGTGCCATAATGTCCGCTCAGTGTTAGTCTCTTTTCCTGGAAAACTGGATATTCACCATGGCAGCAGCTGTATCTGTCTTGATGAGAGGATGTCCATGCTGTTAGGACCATCTAGTATCTTTAGTCCTACTGTGTGGCCATTCTGTTGATTGGCCCATTTCATGAATTTTGAGATTGCTAAGGCATGGGGCAAATGATGATATCTATAGGAAGTCATCCTGTTCCCTTAACTGTTGAGAGCCTCCTCTGCAGTGAACACTCTCTAATGAGCATTGTGGTGAGACACAAAGGTCTGCATGCTTCATCCTCACTTCTATTAATTCATTTGCATACATCTTCCCCAGAACTAGTTGTGATAAATCTTCCAGTATTGTTCGTTTGAGGCCCCTTGACAGCTAGCCAAGTCATGTAAACTCTTACCAGGAGTCTAAGTATCTCATGTTACATCTCCCTCCATTAGAATTCGGTGACCAAGTGTACTGCTAGCAGCTCTTTCCCCTGGGAGTATTTCTCTTCACTGTTGTCCTCTAGAAATACCTCTGAGTGGAACTGTAATGGTAGTTGGCCATTTTCAGTCAGCACCAGCATATTATACTAACCCATCTGTGAACTAAGCCCAGATTCTTTCCTCTTTGACAACTGGTTGTAGGGAATCCCACTATGAGCTATAGGTTTGAGTTTTAGGAGAGATAATTATACAATAAAGATAGGTGAGTGGGAGTCTGAGTCACTTGCAATTTACTTGTACCTTGTTGAATTAGTTGGACCCAATCCCCAATGTACTGTTTCCATAGATTGTGTTGCACTTGCTGGAACTTACAACACAGTGGATCAAACAATATCCAGCATATGATGGGAAACTCTGGTCACATAGTCCTTGATATCAGTACTTAGTCCCTCCTAGGGTCTGGGTAGAATGTCGGGTGTTGATTTTCAAACAGATGGTTGTTCAGTGCTACAAATGACATGGCTTTACCCTCAAGTTCTAGGAGATTATGTTGCGACTCTCCTATTGGGACTTGCCTGGTCCTCCACCCAGCATTCTCACCTGCCACTGCTACCTTCAGTTTATAGTCAGAGTGGGAGAGCAAGTGGGCCCAGAGTCTCAACTTACTGCAAACTCCTCTCTTGCTTTGGGTCCTATATGAAGCCGGCAGCTGAGTCATCTTATAAATGGCTCCCCATTTATATCATACATAAAAAATGTTCCCCATTATCTTATGTTTCTTCAGAACCTAAAGAGGCCAACTCAGTGCTTGAAGGCGCAACTCTTTCTTTGTTTCTAATTTATTTTTATTTTATTTTATTTTATTTTTAATTTTTTAATGTTTATTTATTTTTGAGAGAGAGACACACAGAGTGTAAGCAGGGGAGGGGCAGAGAGAGAGGGAGACACAGAATCCGAAGCAGGCTCCAGGCTCTGAGCTGTCAGCACAGAGCCTGACGTGAAGCTCGAACCCACGAACCATGAGATCATGACCTAAGCCAAAGTCGGACACTTAACCGACTGAGCCACCCAGACACCCCTCTAATGTTTTTTAAAAGATTTTTATTTTTAGGTAATCTCTACACACAATGTGGGGCTCAAACTTACAACCCCGAGATCAAGAGTTGCATGCTCCACTAACTGAGCCAGCCAAGCTCCCTGGCGCAAGTCTTTCTTAATGGGAGGAGGTACAAGATGCAACAGCTTGTTTTTATCTTAGAGATGTGCTTTCCAAAAGAGTAGCTGCTAAACCCATGTGGCTTTTTAATTTAAATGAATTAAAATAAAAAATACATAAAAATTCAGTGTTACAGTTTCATTAGCCACATTTCAAGTGCTCAATAGCTACATGTAGTTAGTGGCTATTCTACCAGACGGCAAAGATACAGAAACATCACTGTGTTGGCAGAAGTTCTACGGCACAGCACTGCCTTTGAGGCCATGTCTGTGCATGGCAGGTTAAGATTTGAACACAGGCCTGACATGATGTTAAAGGCCCATGCTTTTAAGACTTCAGTAGGTTGCAGAGGGGCTGAGTCTAAGCAGATGCTTCCCTGCAACTGTGTTCAACGGCAACATGAGCTCTCCAATTAGATTTTTGGGCAACTGAGTTTTGGTTCATGCGAACATTCTCTTTGCATTTCAACAAATGAAAAAGGCACTTTATGTAAAGGCCAGGTCTGCTGTGGCAGCTCCCCACTTCTAACCTCTATTTCTGGGCAATAGTCAACTCAGAAAGCAGTTTTCTTTTTAAAGGAAGTTTTCATAACAGCTCGGAAATATTAAGCCTCTCCAAAGAGAAGGGCTGACTAGAATTGTTGGCAGACAGCAGAATCTCTCTGAATGCCGCACTTCTGCATTTCCATCTGCACTCCATGAAAGGCAAGGATCATTGTCCCCACAGAATGCAGCTAAATGGCAGCTGGAGCATGAATGGACAGGAAAAACACTCTCCTCCCTCTAATAACACCACTTAGGGCAGACAGGCGAGGTTCTCTTCTGAATGTGCTAAAGAGATGCTGTTATGATAAGAGTAATTATTGTACATTAGTTAAAATCCCATTTAGGGAGCATTATATTGCTGCTATTTTAAAAGAGGTTTGCTAACCTTCCAAGTTGTAGGGAGAGATTAATTAGTGTCAATGGAAGGATCTCCAAGATAAAAACAAATTAAGCCTCCTCATCCAGCCTTGCCTGCATGTCCTTGAGTTGCTGCTTCCTTTGTGACAGAGATAGTATTTGGTCTGATCTATTCTGGTTGGAAAGAAAGGAAGGGGACACACACTTGCTGAACGGAATCTGATGTGTCAGACACCATGATAGGTACTTTAAAAGAAGAAGGCACCTTTGAACTAGGCTTTCCCATTGTTCCCACCCAGCCCACTGGAGAACATTGCTAAACTGAGGCATTTGTACCCTACGTACTACTGTGTTTGTAGCATAAATGGAATCATCTATTTTGGATGGCCCCTCCCAAGCCATTCCGTGTTTCCATGAATACTGAAGACATTTCCTTTGTGATTGATGGCTCAGAGAATATTTTAAAAATATGGCAGGACCAATACCTACCTGAAATAAGTATCATTAACTTTTATACTTTGTCCAGTCTCACTGGCTATAATATCTCATCATCCTTCCCATCAAATATTTTGAACTTGTAGCCCAGATTTGCTGAGACAGACCTCATTTCATGTACTGCAACTATTGCCAGGTAAGACAAATTACTACATGTGTACTAACAAGGATTTTGATTTTTTTTAAGTTTATTTTGAGAGAGAGAGAGAGAGAGAGAGAGAGAGCGCATGTGAGTGGGGGAAGGGCAGAGAGAGAGGGAGAGAGAGAGAATCCCAAGCAGGCTTTGGGCTGTCAGCTCAGAGCCCAGTGCAGGGCTCAGTCTCATGAACCCTGAGATCATGACCTGAACCAAAATCAAGAGTTGGATGCTTTACCGACTGAGCCACCCAGGCACGACCATTTTGAGTTTTTTAATTGTTTTGAGATTTATTATGTAAATAATCTCATGGCGTGTGCCTAATTTTAGTTTCAGAAAACTGATGCACCTATCACCCAATCTTGACTTTTCCATGTACTTCAGTTAGTTTTACTAACTGTGTAACTTTAGGCCAATTATGCAGCCTCTCTGAGACTCAGTATTTTGATTAAAAAAAAAAAAAGGATAATAAGTCACCTTGTGAGGGTTCCTCTGAGGAACAAATGAAATGATGTATAAAAGCATTTTTGACTTTCCTTTCAGATTAAGATTGGGATAACAGGGACCAGATTTACCCTCCTGGCCAAAACAAACCAAAACTGGCTAAAATATGTGACGCAATAGTTTTTAAGACACTGGACAACAGGCAACGAAAGGCAGTAATTCTTGAGATGGGAAACACATGAGGCAAGCCATGTAATTGTCCCATCTTCCTGCCTTTAAAGAGTTTCCAGGCAGTGGAGCAGGGAGGCAAAGTAAGTTTCAGAGAAAAGAATATTACCATGAATAATCAATGTCATTTCATTATGATAAAGGGGTCATTGCATCAGGAGTACATTATAATCTTAAACACATGTGCACCTAATGATAGAGCTTCAAAATACATGTGGCAAAAACTGATAGAAGTGCAAGGAGAAATAGATCAGTCTACAGACAGC